GGTATATATCTTAAACTTATCATGTTCAAAACCTATATCAACATTTTCTCCCTCCAAACCTGTTCCTCCTATAGTCTTCTTCCCATCCTAGATAATGACATCTGCTCTTCCAAATGGTTAGGCTAATAACTTGGAGTAATCCTTAACTCCTTTCTTATTCTCATATCCCTCATCCAGTCAGCATATGCATCCAGATCCAGACCACTTCTCACTACCATCACCCTGGTTCTAATCACACCCTTTTACTATAATAGCCTCTTCTTTCCTTGCTTCTGCACTTGCCTCTCTACATATAGCCTGTTCTTGTCACCACTGGCAGCATGATCTTTTTGAAATTGAAGTCATAGATCTTTGCTAGGGAATGGTTAAAACCTTGTAGTTGATCCTCATTTTACTCAGTTTTTTATTTTAAAAAATTGATTGGTTGATTTGAGAGAGAGAGAAACATCAATTTGTTGTTCCACTCCATTTTGCTCAGATTTAAAGACAAAGTCCTTATAATGGCCAAGAAGGTTCTATGGGATCTGTCCTCTCACCAACTCTCTGATCTTGTTTCCATAATAATCACTCTCACTCTGCTCTCGTCACAATGGTTTCCTTTACTGATTCATTCTTGCTCAGATTATTTGCACTGTTTTCCCTCAACTCAAAATGGTCTTCTACCAGGGAGATCAGTGAACATTTCACAGAGAACATAGGATTGGAGCAAATGTATTTGAAAGAAATACAAATTTGGATGAACATATAAGGGGAAGAGAGAGAATATTTTAGATGGAAAGCAAACAGGTTGGTCACATGCAGTGGTGGGGCACAGTGTTGAAATGTTGTATGAACTTTAGAGCTGACCATTAATCATCAGGAAGTTGGATGATTCAGGGCCCCTCAGCCAGCACACAAGACTGCGCAATCCTTAAACATCCAGAAGACAAACCAAAATGTTGATCCAGTTTGTAGATTGGTAGCTCAGGAAAGAGTTCAATTAAAAAATTAGAATCAGCCCGGCCGGTGTGGCTAAGTGGTTGAGTGTTGACCCATGCACCAATAGGTCGCCGGTTCGATTCCCGGTCAGGGCACATGCCCAGGTTGTGGGCCTGATCCCCAGTGGGGGGCATGTAGGAGGCAGCCAGTCGATGTTCTCTCTCATTGATGTTTCTATTTCTCTCTCCCTTTCCCTTCCTCTCTCTCTAAAATCAATAAAGAAAAAAGTAAATAAAAAATAAAAAAGTTAGAATCAGGCCCTGGCTGGTGTGGCTTAGTTGGTTGGACATCGACCCATGCACCAAAAGGTTGCTGGTTGGATTCCTGGGAAGGGCACATGCCTAGGTTGAGGGCTTGATCTCCAATAGACGCATGCAGGAGGCAGCCCATGGATGTTTTGCTCTCACATTGATGTTTCTCTCTTATCTCTCTCTCTCTAAGAAAAATAAAGATTAGAATCGGGTTCGTGGGTCCTGAACTACTTACTGAAGTTTTTTGAATTTCCTCTGCTTAAGTATAGGAAATGGATCTGGAGCCTAGAACAAGACTGAGCTTTGGTGGAGGCCAAGTAGACTCCCGCTGCTGCTGACATTAACCATAAAGACTTTAGTAACTAATATTTATTGAATGCCTATTGTGTGTTTTGTATTGTATTAGGAGCTTTCCATATGATGTCATGATTAATGACCACAATAATTATGTGAGTGGTTTTGTGGTTATTTCGTTCAGATAAGGAGATTGAGGCTTAAAGAGGTTATCTAGTTCAAAGATACACAGCTAGTAAATGACTTAGTCAGATTTGAATTCAGGTGCGCTCACTCAAGAACCTCAGGGGTTGGTCATTATATTACCTCCCTCCCTTGTGGTAACTTCGCATCTCTAGTAGAGATGAGGAGGTCAGAACAGGGAAACAGTTTTGGAAGAGATAGATGGTGATGGTGGTATTGAGTCTGAAGCAATTGCTGCATAGCCAAGGGGAGATTTGCAGGCTGCATTTGAAATATGGGTGGAACTTAATAAAAAAATAAAATAAAATAACTGATTTTCTACATCTGAGAGTTTAGAGTATAGAGATGATGTTTGAAGACATGGATAGATATATGGGCAATATCTGTGTAGCAGGCCCTATAAGGAATGCTGACATTTAGTGATAAAGAAGAAACAGAGTTGGAGATGTTGGAGGTTAGAGAGGTAGAAGATATATCAGAAGCAGGGATAGTCAGGAGTGTCCAGCCAAAGAGGTTTTGAGGAGAGTGGGGCCTTGGGAAAAGACCAAAGACCATATTATCGGTAACCTGCAAATAAAGAAAGGGGACAGAAACTAAATTTTATGGGAGCTTACAGAAAAAATGAGATACTGAATTTGAAGCAATTAGATAGCAGCTGGGAAAGAGCAGGCTTAAGCAAAAGCATGATGAGGGATGCCCTGGCTAGTGAGGTTCAGTTGGTTGAGAGTTGTCTTTTGCACTGAAGGGTCACTGGTTCAATTTTTAGTCAGGGCACCAAAGGGGAAAAAGAAAATAAAAAAAGCATGGTGGGGGACATAGGGGAGCTGGTAGTGGTGACTGAAAGAAAGAAGCTAGTGAAAAAGAATAGGGGAGAGGGAGAGAGAAAGAGAAACATTGATGTGAGAAGGGAACATCAGTCAGCTGCCTCCTGCACACCCCCTACTGAGGAACAAGCCCACAGCCCTGGCATGTGCCCTAAAGAGGAATCAAACCAGCAACCTTTAGGTGCACGGGACAATGCTCAGCCAACTGAGTCACACTGGCCAGGACAATAGATCTTTATTTAGAAAGGCAGTTGCTTATAAAGAATCTTTAAAAAAATTTTAAAGGTAAACTGAGGCCTTTACACATCTGAACCTTGGTTTCCTCATTTGAAGAAATGATCCTTCTAGTTCTCCCATTTTTCTCCCTGTATAAAAGGGCCCAACAGGGAGTATAGGTTCCAGTTTAGTTAATATGATAATCCTTTGTCCAGCTTTATAGACTACTCTATTTTAGGATGTATAGAGTTATATTGGGGACCAGGAACTCTGAAGGAGCAATGTAATGGTATTCCTGGCACCTAGCACAGTGTCTGAGTTCAGTATTTGTTGGATAAATTTGTCCAGGGACAAGGGGTCCTAGCAGTAGGGAGCCCTAATCATAAACACAATTCTATTTTTGCTCACAATTTGCCATGTTCATACTCTAAATGTCAATGTAGCCAGTAACTAGTATTTATGTGTGTGTTTCTTATTATAAAGAAATTGGAGGTTGGAGTGTGTTTCCAAGATTTCTTGCAGTTCTGCGTTGCTCATGGAACCAAGTTGGTCTGAGAAGGGATGGAACATAAGTAATAGGACAATGTGGTATAAAAGCTGTATGTAAAAAGGCTCAATTCAACTGGATTCTAGTCTTGTTTTGCCATTAGCTTGGCCAGACCTACTTTAAAGTTGAATAGAAGTGGCAATAGAAGTGGCAAGAGTGGACATCCTTGTCTCTTGTTGTTGTTAATCCTCACCCTAGGATATTTTTTTCTTTCTTTTTTTTTTTTTTTTTTTGAGAGAATGGAAGAGAGAGGGGGAGGGAGGGAGACATATTGATTGGTTGCCTCCTGAGTGTGTCCTGACCAGGGTCTGGGATCCGACCTGCAACCCAGTTACGTGCCCTTGACTGGAAATCAAACCCGAGACCCTTCGGTCCATGGGCTGATGCTCTAACCACTGAAAATACCAGCCAGGGTTGGACATATTGTCTTGTTCTTGATCTGGGGGTAAAAACATTCAGTCTTTCACCGTTAATTATGATGATAGCTGTGGCTTTTTCATAGATGCCCTTTACCAAGTTGAAGCAATTCCCTTATAGTCCTGGTTTATTGAGTGTTTTTTATCATGAATGGGTATGGAGAGATGTAGTTTTGAAACAATCTGTCTCATTCTGAAAAATTACTAGTACAGAGATTTCTTTTCTTGAAGCATTTGATAGTAAGCTGCCAATTTCATGCCCTGTCACCCCCTATTTCTTTAGTGTGATTTTCTATAAATAAGGACATTCTCCTATATATCCATAATATAAGTGTCAAAATCAGAAAATTAACATTGTGACATGACTACCATTTAAACCTCAAATCTCATTTAAATTTCACCAATTTGTTCAGTTATACCCTTTACTGAAGGATACTTAATGAAAGGATTCAGTCCAGAATTGTCTTCAGTTACTGTCTCTCTTTATTCTCATACTAGAACAGTTCCAGAGTCAAAGCCTTTCATGACCTTGGTTCTTGAAACTTACAGACCAATTACTTTGTAAATGTCCCTAATTTGGGTTTTTCTTATTATTCCTTGTGATTAAATACTCAGCTTTCAATTCTTTGGGTATATACCCAGAAGTGGAATTGCTGGATCATATAGTAATACTGATTTTATTTTTCTGAGGAACTGCCATACTGTTTTCCATAGTGCTCCACCATTTTACGTTCTTACAAGCACTTCTTATTTTCTGTTTTGTTTTTTATAATAGCCATTCTGTGGTATCTCCTGTGGTGTTTTTTTTTTTTAATCCTCATCCGAGGACATTTTTCCATTTTTTGTACAGACAGAGTGGGAGGGAGAGAGAGGTAGAGAGAGAGAGGGAAACATCGATGTGAAAGGGACACATCGCGTGGCTGCCACCCGCACGACCAACCAGGGCCGGGGACAAACTGCAACCGAGGTACATGCCCTTAGCGGGAACTGAACCCGGGTCTCTCCGGACCGCAGGCCGACGCTCTAACCGCTGAGCCAAACCGGCCAGGGCTCTCCTGTGGTTTCGATTTGCCTTTTTCTAATGATATTGATATGTATTATCTTCTTTTTTTATGCAATTGTTTTATTAATTTATTTTTGTTACAGATGTTTCTCTTTTTTCCTCCATACATACTCTCCTCCCGATCCCACCCCCTGTATTATCTTCTTTAGATAAAAGTTCACTTAACTCCTTTGCTCATTTTTTAATCAGGTTGTTTTGTTGTTGTTGCATTGTAGGAGTTCTTTTTTTTTTAATATGGAACGCTTCACGAATTTGCGTGTCATCCTTGCTCAGGGGCCCTGCTTATCTTCTCTGTATTGTTCTAATTTTAGTGTATGTGCTGCCGAAGCGAGCACTAGGAGTTCTTTTTTTTTTAAATAAGATTTTTTATTGATTTTTAGAGAGAGAGGGAGAGGGAGAAACATCAATATGAGAGTAAAACTTCAATCGGCTGCCTCCTGCATGCCCCGCACTGGGAATCAAGTCTGCAACCTATGCATGTGTCCTGACTAGGAACTGAACCTGCAACCTTTCGATACATGGGATGATGCCCAACCGAGTCACATTGGCCAGGGCGGGAGTTCTTTATATATTCTGGATATTAACTCTTATCAGCTATATGATATGCAAATATTTCCTCCCATTCCACAGGTTGCCTTTTCATTCTGTTGATTGTCTTTTGATGCACAGAATTTTAAAATTTTGATGTAGTCGAATTAATATTTTCTTTTGTTGCCTGTGCTTTTGGTGTAATCTAAAAAACCATTGCCACATTCACTGTCATGAAACTTTTACTCTATATTATCTTCTAAGGGTTTTATAATTTTAGCTCTTAGATCTTTCGTTTAGATCTGTAATTCATACACCTGGATTTTTTTTTTCTTTATTGATTTTAGAGAGAGTGGGAGGGAAAGGGAGATAGAAATATCAGTGAGAGAGAACATCAATTGGCTACCTCCTGCATGACCCCCACTGGGGCTTTGGCTCACAACCCGGGCAATGTGCCCTGACCGGGAATTGAGCTGGCCAGCTCTTGGTGCATAGGTTGTGCTCAACCATTGAGCCACACTGGCTGGGCCCTACACCTGGATTTTTTTTTTTTTTTTTTAAATCCTCACTCGAGGATACCTTTCCGTTTATTTTCAGATAGAGTAGGAAGAAGAAAGAGGGAGAGAGGGAGAGAAACATTGATGCGAGATAGACACATCGACAGTTTGCCTCCCTCGCAACCCCAACCAGGGCCAGGGCCTGAACCGCAACCCAGGTATGTGCTCTTGACCAGAATCCAACCCAGACTCTTTGATCTGCGGGCAGACGCTCTAACCATTAAGCATCCCAGACCGGGCTACACCCGGATTTTTTGAGTCAAAGTTAGAAAGCCTTTCCCTCTACAGGGTTAAAGAGTAATTCCACCATCTTTTCTCCTAGTACTTATATAGTTTCATTATTTTACATTTACTGTTGCCATTTAGCAACAGGGTTATGTTCTAAGGAATGCATCGTTAGGCAATTTTGTCATTGTATGAATATCATAGAGTGCACTTACACAAACCTAGATGATATAGCACACAACACACCTAGTCTACATGGTACAGACTATTGCTCCTAGGCTACAAGCCTGTACAGCATGTTACTGTACAGAACAATATGAGATTAAATTAAGCACAAGAGAAGATGATGCAGTCAAGAGCCCGGTAAACATGAGATGTCTGAGGCTGCCGCTGGCAGAACACAGCATACTATTTTACAGCACACTTTAAAAAAAAATAAGTACAAAGAGTATGCTCTAAAATGATGATAAAAAGTATAATATAGTAAATGCATAAACCAGTAAGTAACATAGTCGTTTATTGTCTATCAATATTATGTACTGTGTATAATTATATGTGCTATTCCTTTATATAACTGGCTACACAGTAGGTTTGTCTAGACCAGTTGTTTGCGATGTTATAAATGGCTGAAACATCACTAGACGATAGGAATTTTTCAGCTCCATTATAATTTTATGAGACCAACGTCATTTATGCAGTCCATTGTTGATCAAAGTGTCTTTAATGATGCATGACTGTAGTGCCCTTATCCATTGGGAGTTTAATTTTATGAATGATGTTAGATAATAATTTTATTCTTTTCCCAAAGGCTACTCGGTTATCCAAAGATAATTTATTAAAAAGTTCATCTTTTACCCAGTGAGTTTAAATGGCCCTTTCATCAAATACTAAATTTTTATATGTATTTGGGTCTAATTCTGTTCTTTCTAGTCTTTTCTGCTGATCTGTTTGTGTTTTTATGTGGTAGTACCATACTGTTTTGATTACAGAGACTTTATAGTATATTTTAATATCTGATAAGGCTAGTCACCTATGTAAATTTTTTTCAGTGTTTTTCTTTTTTTTTTTTTTATCCTCACCCGAGGACATTTTTCCATTTTTTATTCAGATAGAGTGGGAGGGAGAGAGAGGAAGAGAGGGAGAGAGAGAAACATTGATGTGAAAGGGACACATCGAGTGGCTGCCTCCCACACGACCCGACCAGGGCCGGGTACAAACTGCAACCCATGCCCTTAGCGGGAACCGAACCCAGGGCTCTCTGGGCTGCAGGCTGATGCTCTAACCATTGAGCAACTGGCCAGGGCTTTTTCATTGTTTTTCTAGGTATTCTTAGGTGTTTATTTTTTCATGTAAAATTTAATATCAATTTGTCTAACTCCATAAAACATCATTTTGATATTGGGATTCTGCATTAGTTTATTTTATTTATTTTTTTATTAATTTTTAGAGAGAGAGGAAGGGAGAGGGAGAGAGATAGAAACATCGATGAGAGAGAACATTGATTGGCCGCTTCCTGCATGTCCCCCACTGGGGATTGGGCCCCCAACCTGGGAATTAAATTGGTGACCTCTTGGGAATGTATCTATGCTCAACCACTGAGCCACACTGGCCAGGCTCTGCATTAATTTTAAACTATAGTTGTCAGAGACTAGGGAATTCTTGACAGTATCACTGCCACTGAGGGACTCTGAGATGGTGGAGTGGAGTCTCTGACTTCCTCTCCTCCTCTTGAAACAGACTTGTTTAGTTTTATGAATTATGTTTCCATAAGATTTCGGTGGAAGAAAGCATATATCCTTTTAAAAAATAGTTTGCAAAACCACATCATGAATAATATTCAAGCATCTACTTGACTACTGGGTGGTATGGTATTTCTGACACTAACCAGTGAAGACTGTTCTAATTGTTAATTGGCTACATATGCATCAGTTGCTCTTCTTGTATCTGCCACCATTAAATCTAGTTTTTGCCTGCTGAGGCAGCACGAAGTGGGTTTACTCTTTTACCTGATAGTCTTGAGTAGTTGCACATAGCTTCTATGGATTGGTTGCAGTATTGTGGAACAGTCCATTCTGATACAGATCCTTTAGGGGTTGGATGAGCAGGTTGATAATTACTATTTTTGGCTTGCATTGCTATAGGGGTTCCAGAGCCACAATGCCTGGACTCTGCCATTTACTTCTGTGTGATCTAGTACTTGTTACTTCCCTCTTCAAGCCTGTTTTCTTATCAGAAAAATGGGGAAAATAATAGTATCTACCTCACAGGTTTGTAGTATTAAATGAGGAAATGCATGTAATGCGTATGTCTCCATCATCTAGTTAAGTGTTTAATAAATGTGGACTGATAGCAGTAACAATGCTATCATTGCTATGAAGAGGAGAAGAAAGTGTTATGTATTTATTTCTGGACACAAGAGCATAGATATAATTTCAGAGTTGTAGGCAGCCTGCTAGTTGGGGCTTGAGGGGTGAATTTTCTTTCTTTCTTTCTTTCTTTTTTTTTTTTTTATCCTCATCCGAGGATATTTTTCCATTTTTTGTACAGATAGAGTGGGAGGGAGAGAGAAAGAGAAATATCGATGTGAAGGAACACATCGAGTGGCTGCCACCCGCATGACCAACCAGGGCCGGGGACAAACTGCAACTGAAGTACGTGTCCTTAGCGGGAACCGAACCCGGGTCTCTCCGGACCGCAGGCCGACGCTCTAACCGCTGAGCCAAACTGGCCAGGGCTCTTTCTTTTTTTATTGGATTTTTTTTTAGGGAGAGAGAGATAGAAATATCAATGTGAGAGAGAAACATTGATCAGCTGCCTCCTGCATGCCACCTGTTGGGGATCAAGCCTGCCACCTGGGCATGTGTCCTGATGTGGAATAGAACCAGGACCTCTCAGTCCATGGGTCAATCCACTGAACCACACTGGTCGGCTTGTTTGTTTTTTCTTAATCCTCACCAGACAATATTCTTCCACTGATTTTTAGATAGAGTGGGAGAGAGAATGAATGAGAGAGACACATCACTTGGTTGCCCCCCTACATGGCGCCAGGGACCAAACCTGCAACCGAGGTATGTGCCCTTGACGGGGAACCCAACCCGTGACTCTTGGGTCCGGGGGCCCATGCTGTCTGTCACTGCTGAGCCAAGCCAGCCAGGGCAACAACCTGAAGTTCTCATCCTGTGTGTAGAAAGAACCGAAATGAAGCCTAAAATTGATAGCAACATTGAACCAAACCACATTAGGTCAGCATGTGAGTGAGGAAGTAGGTCCTGGAATTAGGCTTTGGGTTTTCTTGCACTGTCTGCCTTAAAGCTTTCACCTCACATCTCAAACTGTTTAAAAAGTTCTTTTGGAAATTGCCCCAGTTGTAAGCCAGTGAACTAAGGAAACCAAGTTGTCAGCAACAAACAGTGAATGAAAATGAAGTTCAGATTTTTTCTTTATCAGTCAGCCCTGTTATATTTCGATGTAGCTAATCCAAGTTAATAACGACAAAATAATAATAGTTATAAAAGTTCACTTTGGGCTTATAAACTTAGTAAGCAGAGCCTAGTGCATTCAAGTCCATTAAGTTTTTTTTTTGTTGTTGTTTTTATCCTCACCTGAGGACATTTTTCCATTTTTTGTTCAGATAGAGTGGGAGGGGGTAGAGAGAGAGAGAGACATCAACGTGAAAGGACACATTGAGTGGTTGCCACTCGCATGACCCAACCAGGGCCGGGGACAAACTGCAACCAAGGTATGTGCCCTTAGCGCGAACCGAACCCAGGTCTCTCTGGACCGCAGGCCGATGCTCAAACCCCTGAGCCAAATTGGCCAGGGCCAAGTCTATTAAGTTTTATCTTTTCAAAGATTCTTTCTGTACTGTTCTGAAAAGTACAAAGAATAAAGATCACCTAATATCTATTATCTATATGTAACCATACTCAACATTTCTGTGAGTATCCTTCCAAAGATTTAGTCTTTGTACATAAATAAACTTTTTAATTTGGTGGAGTAATTAAGAGCATGTTGCTTTGGTGTCT